CCAGCCCCCTGCACCCTCCCTGAAACACCTTTTTATTCCTCCTTTTTAAAGTCTTCACTTCTGCTTACAAAGTATGTTCAGTATAGAAAACTTGGGAAATGTAGGAAACTATAAAGAAAATAAAAGTGACCCTTCACAGAGCCCTTTCCTCACAACTACGATTATTCTACGATTATCTAGGGAGCCTCTGGACCTCTAGACTCTACTTCCATCGCTCTGGGGACCTCATTTAAGTGGGGTCATACAGTGTCATTTGTAACCAGACTATGCACTGTTACATCATGTCCTCATCCCCAGCACATGTCAGAATGTCCTTCCTTTTCTCAGGCTGAATAATATTCCAATGTGTGGCTGGGCCACACTGTTTATCCAACTATACATCCATGGACACTTGGGTTGCTTCCACCTTTTGGCTGTTGTGAAGAGTGCTGCTGTGAGCATTGATAAGCAACTTTAAAAAGTAAATAAATTTTTATTCTCAGGCTGAATAATATCCCATGTGATAATTTACTTTTGGAGTTCAGATTGAGACAAAAACAACCCTGGATTCGTGATGGTTGGTGGGCTGGTGGTACACCTGTGCCCAAGGCAGGTGTGCCTGGCTGGTGGCCCCCACACAGCCCCTGTCATGAGGGCCAGGCCATGGGGCTGGTTCCACTTTGTCCAAAAACCAACATTAGCTGCACCTCAGGATGCTGAAGCTCAGCGAGGGCCTGGGGACGGGAGAATCCAAACGCCTTTGGAGGCTGAGATGTGAGTCTGTGCCCACCAGGCAGCCCCTGCCATCTGGGCCAGGCCATGATGGGAGTGGCCACCCCAGGACAGATGTGAAGCTGTGAGTCCACGTGCCTGGACACTTTTTCCTGCCCCAAGGGTCTCGGTAGCTGAGTACCTTGTGGCATTCAGATGAGGGGAGCCATGCATCTTTCCACTTGAATGGTTCTTGGGGTACCCCTGATATGTGGTGGGCCCATGACATCCCATACCCCAGGAGTCAAAGGCTGTGGGGGTCCCCCCCAAATTAGCCCAGGAGCCACAGAACCAGACTCCCACAGGTAGGCAGGGAAGCCTGACCAGGGTCAGAGGGTACAGGACCCACAGGAGGGGTGTGGTTGAGCAGCAGTCAAGGGAGTCCACACCATGCTGGCTACACCCCACATCCTGAAGTCCCCAGAAACTAAGGCCTCATCCAGATGCAAAGCGGGACCCCTCCACACCAGACCACCAACCCACTGGGGCCAAGCCCAAGGAGCAGGCCTCCAGCCCCACCTTCATGGCCCTGAGGGTAGGCTATCTCTGAGAGGGTGGGTTCCTTTCTCCTGCTGGAAGATCTGTCCAGGGTCCCCATGTGGTCCTCTAGGGCCCTGATCTTGGATTTCTGGGTGGGGTTCAGACTCCATCCCTCCTGTCCTCAGGACCTTGGGTTCCTAAGCTGAGGTGTCCAACCCTCACCTCCAGCCCTGCAGACCAGGAGAGGGTGAGCAACAGGTGGTGGGATGGTGTCCCTCTGGGCAGAGGGGCTGTAAGCATGGGGCTCTTTGGGGACAGGACCTGGAGCCTGGTGGCCCCGGGCTGCAGGGGCAGCTACTTCCCCTCCCACTGGGTGTTCCCTGCGCACCTCAGGCCTCATCCTGAAAGTCCATACCTGGGGTGGGCTGCTCAGAGACCACTGCATACGGCTCCGTGACATGTGTGGATGCCGGCTGGGACAGACACGGCCGGAGTGGGTGTGGGTGGAGGTGGGTGAGGCGCCCCAGCCGGGCGCTGACACAGGCACTGGGGCACCGCAGGGGAACAGAAAAAATGAGTGGAGGCGACTGCAGGGGCCTGTTACGGGAAGGCAGCACCCAAAGAGCTGACGGGCCCTCTCTCACTTCTTATCTGAGCCACACTCCATCAGCGGGCGGCCCGCGCCGCCAGCCCCGTTGGCTCGGGGAAGCAACCGCTTCCTTTCCTCCCAGCTGCACATGCTTTTGCCATTTTTTTAGTTATCAATATGAACTCGTGTTCTTTCAAACTTTCTCAGAGTGTATTAATCCGTTTTAACTTGAACTTTGATATTTCTGATTCTCAGATTACTTCCTGCCCTTTGACTGGATCCTGACTTGGTTCCTCGTTCTGGGGGCCACGTGGTCTCTGTCCCTCCTACACACACTCCCACTGCCCACCGGCACGTGGCCCTGCCACCAGCCCAGCCCCCAGGGCAGACCCAGGACCGGGTGCCATGCTTCTGTCAGTTCACATTTTAGCTGGTCGCCCTGGGAGATATTTCAGGGGGTGGATGGGTTCTGGGCCAAAAGGCAACTCTTCTAGCCTGGTTCCCCTCCAGTTTGGCATTTCCACCCGCAGTGCGTGAGGAGCCTGCTTCCTGCGACCCCGCGACATGTGCTGCGCACTGGGTAGGCATAGTTGCGATCTGCATTCTTCTCATTATGAGTCAAACTGTACGTCCTTCCATTGTTTCAGGATACATACACGTGTACATGGAACATATGTGTGTGGCGTGTGTGTGATCATGTGTGGGCGTATGCGTGCATGTGCACTGGCCATATCACCTACCCACCTTCCACTGTTCCCATCACCTTGCTCTTTCCACATTTGCAGATCTTTGTGTGACTGGATGTCAGCCTTGTGTGACGCGAGCACAGCCCAGGGCAGGCGCCTCTTTGGGGGCACCCTGCTTGGGGCCAGTGTGAAGAAGGCTGTCCTGTCCCTCCAACAAGAAGATGTTCACCTGAGTGTCCTTCCCTGTCTGTAGGCTTTCCTTACATTTTTATCTGCTGCATTTGGGGTTCACATGGGCACCTGGCACAAGGTCTGGGTCCACCTCGATGCTGCTCCAGGTCATGCTGTGGCCCCAGTGTCAGCTGCCCCCCCGTCTTCCTGTTCTCTCCTATGCCAGTGCCCCCGCTTTGGTGACGGGGGTTTTAGATCTGATAAAGCTGGACTTTCACTTCCCTTCAGGGTGTGCTTGGCTGTTACTTGCTAATTTTTCCATTTGAACTTTGCAGTTGCAGAAATGTGGGTTTTTTACTGGGATTGTGTTAAATTTATGAATTATATTAGGATGGCTCAGTCAGTGGTGCCGGGTCATCAGAGCCCCAGGGCACGGTGAGTCCAATGGCCCCAGCCAACCTGTGCTCAGCCTCTCCTCTGCAGGCTGGCAGGCACGTTGCGTTAAATGCATGCCCTATGCATTTTGTCTTTTCTCTTGCTGTCATAAACAGAAAATTCTTTACCACTTTTCTTTCAACTGACTATCCTTGTATATATGAAAGCTGTTTATTTTTAGATGTTGATTTTATATCTTTTAGTTGACCAGATCCTCTAATTCTGTCATAGTTTTTCGACTATACAGTTGGATTTTTCAGGCGGGCAAAACTGCATCACCTACAGACTCCCTGGAGTCGATGCCTGCTCCTGCTTGGCACCTCCAGAGCATGGCAGCACCCTTGCCTTGTCCTGGAGTGGTGCCCATTGCCCACCCCACTGGGACAGGACCTCAGGGTAGGCACAGGATGAGTGCTGAGGGCTCAGAGTGGGCAGGGCATCTGTACTCCTGGCCCTGGGAGTTCAGACGAGGCCCACTGGGAGGGCCACAGCAGATGGGGACAGGGCCCAAGGACCCTTTATGGTGGTGATGCACTCCCTTCCTGGAGGACAGGAGAGGTTTCCTTTTCACACACGTAGGGCTGAGTTTCCCCATAGATGTCGCTCCCCACCTGCCTGCAACACTCCAATACCCACTCATTCACAGCCTGGTGAAGCCCACCCACTCATCTTGGCCCCACCTGGGGCGGTGACCCAGCCTGAAGGGACTCCCAGGTGTGGGGGGCATGGGGGAACTGGAGCAGGGAAGATACTGGATGCCCCATGCCAGATGGAGTTGTTCTGAGGGCAGAGGGCTGTGGGACCCTAGGATGGGCTTCTGGGGGATGCCTGGCAGCCTGTGAAGTCAGAGGGATTTCACACCATGGAGGCTGTGGCTGTGTAGGAGGGGTGAGTGGGAGGGTGGGGCACAGAGATGAGGGGCCTGGGAGGGCCTGTGGGAGACTGTGAGGTGAGCTGGTGTGTGGCCTCTGTCCTTTGTGAGGACCAGACCCTCCCACCCTCTGGGCCGGACCACCCCACCTTCCCCAACCGTGTGGGCAGGAGAGCTGGGGCCTTTCTTACAGGTTTTGTCATGATTTAATGATGATAACAGAACAGGGAGGGGCCCTCAAGTGTGTGCAGAGCCCACGCTGGGACATGTGCTCCGAGAGCACACCTGCCCCCACCCCCCACCCCTTGGGAGCCTGGCCAGGCCCCGTTAAGTAGCACCCTGAGTGGGCTGCGAGGAACAGGAGACCCCCAGCACAGACAAATGGGAGACTCCTTGGGCTCTAGTCTCAGTGGGACTGCCCCAGCTTGGCCTGTCCCTTCAGCACCTCAGCTTCCAGGCTGCCTGATGGGCCAGGCCTGCTTAGGGTGAGGGGAGGCATGCAGAGGTCAGCCCGTGGGCTCCCTGCCTCTGCCTCCCGCTGCTGCCAGGAGCTCTCTTCCAGGCTCAGGTGCACCAGGCACCCTGGAGGGCCCAGCCCCACACATTCCCCCACTGGGCCTGCACTGTGTGTTGGATCCCTTTGCTGTGGGGGCACCCCACCAGGGTCCAAGGCAGAGTCTCCAACCAGGGCCCTGTGCCCCCACTTGCCTGCTCCCCCATGTGCCCCGAGATGCAGAGATGCAGTTCAGGGGTTGACTCTCAGCTCGGCCGGGCCTGGGCCTGGAGCCTGAGCAAGTGTCCTCCCCTTCTGCTGAGCTGGATGGTGACGCCTCCCACCCTCAGCCCCCAGGTTGCCTTGATCAGTGACAGGAGGGCCAGGCGGGCTGAACCCAGGTGCAGGGGTGGTCCCCAGACAGGAGTGGCCCCACCACTGTGCCCATGCGTGTTCCTCCAGGGAAGGTGCTGACCCCGGGGTCTTGGAGGATGGTCTGAAGGACACAGGCCAGCTTAGGGGCCATCAGAGGGGCCAAGAGCAGTGGCCATCCTCAGGCCTTGGAGGCTGGGGCCTGGTGGGGCTGTCGGCCGAGGCCCTGCGTCCTGGGGAAACTGGCCTGCTTGGAAAGACGATGGTGGCATACTCTGTCTGTTCAGGGACATGGGGGGTGGGCAGCTCCGGGGTCTTCTTTCGCCACTGGAAGTCAAGCTCCCCATAGTCCACGGTGAACACAGGCATGGTGGACGGGCCCTCCTTCTTGGGGGGGACAAGGAGGGAGCAGTCAGTGTCTCTTGAGTGGCCAACAGGCACTTGCGCGTAGGCACACACACGTGCACACACACAGAGTGGGGGCAGGGCTGTGCCCCCCTCCCCACCAGAGCCCTGTGGCCCCAGGTTCAAACATGGTGACCTGGTCGGTGCCGGGTATGGCTGCCCTGAAGCATGCTTACCCCTAGGCAGTGCCACCCCAGCCTACCCTTGGCGCAGTTGGGGCCCATGGGATCAGCCACAAAGGGAAGGGGCTCACCAGAGGCTCATCCAGGCTCCGGCCTGTGCAGGGCCCTGCAGAGAAATGCCTTGAAGTAAAGGAGCCCGGGAGGCCAGCAGTCCTCCCCTGGAGTCTCCGTGGGGTTCCTTGCCCCCAGGGCACTGCGGCCCAGTGTCTTCCCCTCTGCTCCGTCATCCAACCAAATCCCCACTCCCCAGGACCACCAGGAGCTCCCCTCCCCCATTGCCAAGGGTCTGGTTTGGATCATGATTTGTCTGGGTACCAGGCACGCAGGACCACTGGCTTCCAGTACTAGTCTTCTGGTCTCTGTGGCAGCATGACCAAGCCAAGCGCCCACTGCAGGGCACCAAACCCACCCTCCAGCCTGGCTGGTGCGGACAGCACTCAGCAGGTGTATAATCAATGAAGCTGCAGGGGCCATCTCCAGCTGTTGTTGCACAGAAGTGCCATGTGTGTCTCCACCTGTGGCAGGCATGGGCACACAGCGCATTCTCAAAATTACTTGAAGGAAGAAAAAATGAGTCACTGGAGAAGTGAGCTTCCACAGAGGCCAGGAGGCTGCCGGTGAAGCGCTGCCACCTTCACTCAGCTGCTCCCCCAAATGCTGGGGAGGCGGGGAGGCTGGCTGTTGCTGGGGGCTTGTGCAGGCCCTGGGGCGCCTGTTCTCTGGCCTTGTGTCCCCCAGGTGGCTGTCTCGGGAGAGCGTGGCCAGCACAGCTGGCGAGTGGGGCATGGGGAGGGGCTGACCCCCGAGCCAGGTCCCCTTGAGGCCGTGGCCCCTGGAGAACCATGCCTCTTTCCAGCCCCAGAGCCGTCCACCTGTTGCAGGAGTGAGGACGAGGGCCAGGCTCCAGCACCGCCTGCAGCCAGTGTGTGCACGTGGGGGTGGGGTGGGCATCCCGATTCTCCCCCGGTGGTTGTGTGTCACCGCAGGAGCCCAGAGGATGTTAGAGGCTCTTCTGCAGTGTCCTGTGGCTTGAGGTCTGGGGGGTGGCAGGCAGGGTGGCTCAGCCTGTGGCGGGGGACAGCTCCCTGCCTCTCTGTGTGACCTTGACAGCTTCTCCACAACCCCTCAGAGCTGCACCAGGGAGGGGACCCTAGACCCTGGGGAGACTTTGTGCACCCTCCCTGGGGGGCCTTGTTTGTGGAGCGTGGCAGGAGGGGCGTCTGTGTGCTGGGCTACACCCCTGGGCGTTACCTCCAGTGTCCCTAGGGAAGGCGGCAGCCAGGGCACAGGCCAACAGCAGAAAGACCAGCAAGCAGCTCAGCAGGATGCTCGTGATGCCCACCACTTGCAGTGGGGTGCGCCTGGGTGGCGGGCTGGGCGCTCTGTGGGTGGCTCCAGGACTGGCTCTGCGGAGCGATGGGAGTCAGCTTGGAGCAGGCCCTCCTGCCTTCGCTTCCCTGGAACCTCCTGCTGAGGGCTGCCCGCCCTGCTCTGGGGGTCCCCCCTCCCGCTCACCCTGCCCTGGGGTCTCCCAGGCCCACACCTGTGTCACTGTGAGCTCTGCCAGGGGACTCTCCGTGATCTGCATGTTGGGAAGCAGACAGATGGCCCCGCAGAGGTAGATGCCACTGTCATTGCGCTGGGAGCAACCACACTCGTGTGGAAGTCTTGCCCGTCGGGCAGCGGTGTGACTCGGAAGTGTCTGTCCCGGCCTGGCTGGCTGCTGTCCTCAGGGAAGGCGGCCAGCTTGTCTGTCTGGTTGCTGGGGCTCATGCGGTACCAGTTGAGCACAAAGCCCTTGGATGTGCTGGAGAAGCTGCAGGTGAAGGTGGCATTCGCCCCCTCGGGCACTGCAGGCTGGGCTGGGGAGAAGGCCAGGGGGCTCCAGGGCCTGACATGGGCATCTGAGAGGTGGGGAGAACCAGTGGCTGTGAGGAGAGGTGTGTCACAGACCACCAGGCCCTCCCCTCCCACTTTCCCTCCTGCACTCTCGCAGGAAGATTCTGGAAGGCTCTGTCCTTGCTGGAATCCCCTTGGCAGTGCATCACCACAGAGCCCTGCAACTCCTCTAGACTTGGCCCCCATCTCAAGACAAGCTTAGAACTGGGACTATGGTGCAGGCACCACCGACATGGGCAGTGAGGGGCCCCCGTGTCTCCTGCAGGGACTCTGGGGACTGGAGTTCACAGAGACGGGCTGGGGCATTGCCCCTGAATGGAAAAAGAGGCCCAACCAAGCTGGCCCCCAAAACAAAGACCTGTAGGCACATCCCCAGGCCAGTACCCTGGCCTGGGGATGTGCCCGCCACCTCTCAGGGGCTGGCAGCCCTTTCCAGCAAGAGCCTCACTGACACATGCACTCATGCTATGCCCACATGTACAATGTAAGCTCTCATCCCCTGCATGGACAGCCACACTCTCACTCCCACCACAGCCATGCTCACACACGAATGCATGAATGTGCACACCCCTACACGCTCATACTCAGCTTGCTGGCATGCTCACATCCACACATGAATGCATGAGTGTGCATGCCCTTGCACACTCACACTCGGCTTGCTGGCATGCTCACATCCACACATGAATGCATGAGTGTGCATGCCCTTGCACACTCACACTCGGCTTGCTGGCATGCTCACATCCACACATGAATGCATGAGTGTACATGCCCTTGCACACTCACACTCGGCTTGCTGGCATGCAGAGGAAGGCCTTCCCATGGCGGCCCAGGTGACGCATCTACATGGAATCAAGGTTGACTATAATGGCTATATGGGCAGGTCAGAAGCTCCCAGGGTCCGGGGAAGGAGCCATAGCTGAGCCCATACCTGCCAGGTCTGCCCCTGTGTGGTCAGCTCGCCGTGGCAGGCTGGTCCAAGATCCCCGATTTATAACTGGGGAAACTGAGGCTCAGAAGAGGAAGCTTCTCTGTCTGGACCCAACCCTGGGTCTGTAGCTGCTCCCATTGGCCCCCTACATGAGCCCGCACCTGGGACCCGTGCTCAGCCCTCTGCCATGCTGCTCTGGGCCTCGGCCTTGGCTTCCCTGCTGTGGGGAGGGCCCATCAGGAACAAACACCCAGACCTGAAGTGTGGCCCAGTGAGGCCACCTAACACGTCCCATGCCACTGGGCTCCACAGTCACTGTGCCAACTGCAATTCCAGTCCTGGGATGATGGGGTGGCTGCTGCTTCACCCTGTTCACCTGAGCTGTTAACTGCCACCCTTCCTTTCTGCTCTTCCTGGCTGTGCACTCAGGGTTCTACTGGGTTCTGCCCTGAGCGATGTGTGCTGGGCAGGCTTCCTCACATGTGATGGCACAGACTTGGCAAGGGGTCCCTTTGCATCCAGGGAAGGGATGGCCTGAGGTTGTCTGCAGTGGCCTACTCACTGAGGAGGAGGAGATGGTGCAGGGACCCAGGGCACTGCAGCTGGTGCCAGGCAGGGCCCATCCAAGTGAGCCACGCCAGGGCACATGTGACCGGCAGGCCTCCCTCCTGGGCCACCTGGCACTGGGCACAAGGGGGAATCACAGGATGGTCCTTGCAGTGGGGACCACCTGGCTTACACCGGGGCTTGGGGAGACCGGGGCCCAGTCTGCCTGGACTGGCCACTGTTGCCCCTCCTCTGGCACCTTTCCCAGCCTTTGATAGGCTGAGGGGCTGGCACATGGCCAGTCTGGTGACTGTAGGTGCTGTTCCCTTAGATTGCATCATGTGCCAGATATAAGGGTGGGCACCACCCATGAGCTGGGGCCAGGAGACCTCCCAGGCTGGGGTGCCCTGCCCCCTGTGGAAGGGGTGCTCTGTGCAGGCTGGGTGGTCCACACATCTCTGTGGAAGGCTCATCCCACCAGTTGGGGGGCAGAGGGCATTGGGGAGGCCAAGGAGGCCTGGAAGGGGGCCAGGCTTGGATGGGGTTGCCCAGGGGAGGTGGAGCCCCTTTCTCATCAAAGCTACAGGCCCCTGGAGCCTGGGAATCTGCCCACTCCTCTGGCTCTCCCAGGGTGACACAAACAGCAGTGGTCTTTTCTTATTCCTAATTGTGTCCAAACCTTCCACAACCAGCACATCATGCCAGGAGCTTCCCTTGGCAGTTTTAATGCGCATCTTCTTTATACATTTATTCAAGAAGCACATAGTGTGATTCCACAGAGATCAGGCAGAAGGTGTCATGGTGGGGCGCTCCAGCACTAAGCCAGTGGGACCTGTGGGGCCCACCCTGACTCTGAGGACGGCCTGCCTGCCCCACCGCCTTCCCGCCTCCCTCCTGCGGCATGCCCGAGTCTGGGACCAGAAGCCCAGGTCCTCTTCTCAGATACCCCCAGGAATCCCAGGTCTGGATGGAGCCACCCGCCTCTCATGGTCAGGGTGACCTGAGAAGCTACCCTGGGGGAGAACAGTATGTGCACAGAAGCCACCTTCCTGCACAGCCCCTCTGCAGGCCTCCCTTCAGGAAGCCCCTGTGTGGACATGTGCTGCTGGGCCCTGGGAGCCATCATCGCCCTGTGTGGATGGGGCTGCCCCACTTTTCTTCGGTTTGGGCCCTCATCTGCCCCACCCGTGACCTGAATTCGTGACCATTTGAGTCACTGTCTTCTCTTCAGCTCACTGTGGTGCCTCCCACGGGGTCTGAACTTTGTGGGGTCCTGGGCTGCCTGCGTCTGGCCCACCCACAGGTCTCCCTGCCCTGGCCTGGCCCATCTGCCTGGGTCTCTGTATAGTGGCTGCTCATCCTGCTCAGGCCCAAGACTCCAGATCCTCCTGGTGGCCCTTCAGGTTCCTGCTGCCCCTCGGGCCCCTCTCCACAGCACACTTGTATATCCACCCGCCCTGCTGAAGCATGCTCGAGGGCAGGGGGTGGACACAGCAGCTGTGGAGGTGGCCCGACACAGGTAAGGTGGTGCTTCTGGAGTGGTGTGGGTGGGGGCAGGCCTGTCACCTTGTGGCTGCTCCAGAGCTGAATGAACCACAGGACACCTCACTGCTACGTCTGGTGGTGCTTCTGGAGTGGTGTGGGTGGGGGCAGGCCTGTCACCTTGTGGCTGCTCCAGAGCTGAATGAACCACAGGACACCTCACTGCTACGTCAGGGGCTCTGGGTGGCCTGGCCAGGGTGCAGGGCCACAGGGAGGACCCCTGCTGACGCTCAAGGCCTGCTCAGATGGAGAAAGATGGGCCCTGAGAATGGGGGCCCGGGAACACCACGGGGGAATGTAGCCTTCAGGAGAAGCCCGAGTAACAGATCAAAGAGAAGCCGGCTTCCCCCAGTCATAACCCAGAGTGCGGGAACCACACTGGGAGCTTAGAGATGAATGAAAACAGGACTTTGCTGACCAAATGGACACAGGGCTCTGAGCTCCCCAGAGGCCATAGACAGACTCTCCACTAGGGCGTCTTTGAGGGGTCTTACAGGAACCTAGAAACACCCCCAACCCTGGTTGGGCCTCCAGCTGACCCCAGGCTGGGTGGAGCCAGAAGACTGATGACTAAGGGTCCCTATCAGCCCCCATCATTCTCCAGGACCGTCAGGAGACAGGCGCAGGCTGATCACACTACCGGCCCCTCCCCACAATCTTCCTCTGAAAACCCCTGCCTGCGAGCCAAGGGCGAGTCTGGGACCTTGGGCATTAGCCACCTGTCCTCTAACTTGGTGCCCAGCAGGAATTGCCCAGTGTCCTAACTACACCCCGACGCTGGGGTTGGCTTTGCTGCAGGCCGGGCAGCAGACCCAGCTCGTCCGGGTGGGTAAGAGGAGCACCCAGCTGGGATGGGGCTGGGCGGCCTCTCTGCTTCCCGGGATCTTGCTGGGACCTGGGAGCCTGCAATGGGTGCCTCAGGTGCACCTAACCTTCAGTCAGCCCAGCAATTCCCTGCGTGGGGCTGAAGACAGGCCTTCCTTTTAAGGTTGGTGGACTGGGATTTGCTTTATCCCCATAGTATGAACGTCTATGCATCTTTTCTTATATTTTTCATCTAATTAAAATTTTACATGTTGTCTTTTTACTTTATACTTGATAATGGGGTGTCAGTGAGGGGCCCCAGGCCTCTTTTGTGTTTGGGGCATGGTTAGGAAGAGGGAGCTGTGCCTCGGTAGGGCAGGTGGGGAGACCCTCAGGGCAGAGCCCACGTGGACAGGCTGTAAGTAGGAGGCAGCACTGACCTGGCTCCCAGAGAGGCCCTGCTCTGAGGCGGCCTCACCAGCAACACATTCACAGCCACCGCCTAACACCTGATTTAGATGAGACCCATCTGTGCAGCTGAAAGCACTGCTGGAGTACTGTCAGGCCCCAGCCGCCCCCGTGGGTCTCTTCATCACAGCAAAAGGGGCACCTTCACCTCCTTCACTGTGGGCACAGAGGGAGTGTGTCCATCGTGGGGTCCCCGATGGGGTACCCAAGAAGGACAAACATGATCTCCCACGAACTCACATCAGACATACCCAGGTGGTGGTCTGCACCCCTGGTCTGGACACTCCAAGTATCCAGGGCAAGCAACAAAAGCAAAAATCAACAAGTGGGATGACATCAAACTAAAAAGCTTCTGCACAGTAAGGACCCCAACAGAGTGAAAAGGCAGCCTGCAGAGTGGGAGAAGACATTTGCGAACCACATGTCTGATTCGAAAAGATATATACACCCCTATGTTTATCTTATTGCTGCATTATTTACAAGCCAAAAATGTGGAAGCAACCAAAGTGTCCATAGGTAGACGAATGGATAAATATGTGGTACATATACACAATGGAATGTTACTTAGTCATGAGAAAGAATGAATTCTTGCCATTTGTAACAATATGGATGGACCTAGAGGGCTTTTTGCTCAGTGAAATAAGTCAGAGACAAATACCATATCTCATTGACATGTGGAATCTAAAAAAAATGGACACAAAGAATAGATTGGTGGGGGACACAGGAGTGAAATGGGAAAGGGAGTCAAAAGTTAAAGCTTCCAGTTACAGAATGAGTAAGTCCTGGGGATGTATGTGCTAATAATGTATATGTATAGCCAATAATATGTATAAATAATCATACTGTGGAATCTTGAAAGTTTTTATTACAACAAAAACATTGTGATTATGTGTGGTGACATGTTAACTGGACTTGTGGGGTGATCATTTGCAATATATACAAATACTGAATCATTACATTGTATAGCTGACACTAATATAATGCTTATATAATTTTTATACCTCAAAAAATTTCTAATTCTAAGGCTTTCCATATCTAAAATAAAATTGAGATTTGATTAAAAATACAATGCCAAGTTGTGGGCAAAGACAGAGGGGGCTGCTGCTCTAGGTCCGAGGAAGCTGGGGACGATGACATTCCAACAAAGCAGGGGGTAACTTACTTGGCTCCCATCAGGGAAAGATGGTCCAGCCAGAGGGCTGGATTGGGGCACCAGAGCATCTCAACCGCGAGACTGTGTTAAAGCTGCGGTCCCCAGAGAACATCTGGAGCATAAGGAGAAATTTGCAACTAGGGCTGCAGCGGGCACTGAGGCCCCAGAATTTGCAGATGTGAGTCGTGCTCTGGGCTGAGCCCCCAAAGACACATGCTGCAGTGCTGAGCCCGGCACCACAGAAGGTGACCATATCTGGAAAGGGGGTCCTTGCAGCAGTAACTGGTTAAGATGAGTCTGGAGGTCAGAATTGCGCTCAGGGAGAAGGCCTTGGGAAATGGGGGCAGAGGCCGGGTGATGTGTCTACCAGCCAAGGAGCACCAAGATGACCAGCTGTCCCCAGAGGCTGGGAGCTGCCTGGAGCAGATGCTCCCTGATGTCTGGAAGGGACTGACCCTACCTACACCCCGACATTGGACTTCCAGCCTCCAGAACTGCCAGGCAAGGCACTTCTGATGCCCGTAGTACTTGTTACGGCAACCCCAGCCAGGTAAGTTCTGCTCAAGGAGACGAGGTGACTGACTGGGGCTCCAAAGCTCTCAGTGATGGCTTTACCCCAGACTCATTTGCCCCGGACTCAAGTCTGGCCCATTTAAAACTGCTACTCTGACCTACTCTCGCTCACTAGGATGGGGTCACAAACTACTGGATTTGCGTAGCTCATACAATGCAAGAAAAACATGTACATAAGCAAGGTGGGGGATGGGATGGCCAAGGAAAGACAGAAATAATAGATACAGGGAATGAATTGGGAGCGGAAGGAGATGCATCCCAGAATGGAAGATTGGCTGCAGTGGGACTGCTGAGCCTGGGGCACAGCAGGAGGGGCACCCTGCACGCAGCATCGGCCACACGGAGGGCTCTGCGCCGTGTGGGGCCACCTGTTACAGTCCGGGAAACCGAGGCACACCGAGTCTCAAAATCTTGCCCAAGACACAAGATTTTGTGTGGGAACCTGGAGAACATGCCGCAGCATCTATTCTACACCCTCTCCTGCTTTGGGAAGGGGTCCTGGTGGGGGGTGGGCAACCAGGGGAGCCATGGCCCCATATGCCTGCCCATCTCTTCCATGAGTACACCACCAACAGGCTCTCAGTTCTCCGTGTTTGCCGGAGCATCTTTGTTGCGAGTATTTTCATCACGTAACAGATTGGCTTTGAGGCAATTTTGCCATGAGACATAAAATCACAGAAAATAAAAGGGACATTCGCTAAGAAGTACATGATGAAACATGGACAATGAATGCAAAATTAAAAAGACTTTATTGCAAAATGTGAAACACCCGAGCTCATTTAAAACGTGTGTGGACTCATGGCAATGCGCAAGTGGCCGATGGCGTTTTATGCTTGTACCGGAGCATGGTCTTCTGACACCTTCTTCTGCTCTGGGTTCATCTCCTTGATCCCATTGTGCTGTCATTCACGCTCAAGTTCCTTCCTTCATTAAGAGAGACATCCGTTTCCCAATCCCGGGAGGCAAGGTGCCTTTGCACCTGAGCTCCACTGCGGGAGAGCTGTCCACACAGGTGTACTGTTACCTGTCCTCAGACCTGTGCCGAGACCTCTATGGGAAATGCAGGCTGAGCACTACATGCTGTACAGGCCTTTAGGGGCTGAGATTTATGACATATACAAATGCTAGTCCTGCATTGATGCAGAAATGAAGCTGAACCGACTACCAGTTGATGAAACCAGACTGTCAAACCAAGCTGCCAACCAGTTATTTTTTTACCTTTTACGGAAAAATTGCCTTATGGCCAATTGTTATGTGGTGAAAAACTCCTAAAGTGAGCTGCTCATGGGACTACCGGCCTTCCCTTGCCACACGGGCCCTGGCATCCCTCATCCGGCTCTTCTTCCCCCTGTCAGCCTCTGTGGCTCCTGTTGTGGCTGCCAGTGGGTGCCCACCCCCAGGCTTGGCGGAGGGGGTTGGCTCCTTGACTGACCACAGCTGGGCTGTGTGCCAGGGACAAGCAGCTGGAAGGGAGGGGTGTTAGGTACAGGATCAGACAGACTGGGGCTGCCACCATCCAGAGATGCCACCCCAGCTGCCTGCAGCCCAGGGATACACACGTGGACCACATGCCCCCAGAGCCCAGGGCCAGGGAGGTGACCCATGTTCCTGGAGCAGCACTCCCTCTTTGAGGTCTGGGGTGAGCACAGCACCGCACATGCTGATGACCACCATTTCTGCCCAGTTCTCTCTCCTTGTCTGTCTGCCTCTCAGCCTCTCTTGTTCCCAGACACAGAGGTGGGGTCCTGTTGATAGAGCAAAAGCCATCCAGTCAGCTAGCTGGCCTCAAGCCGGACCCTGTGACACCCCAACCCTGGCCTGGCCTCCAGCTTCAACCCCTCCTTTGCTGGGCCATCCTGTCCCAGTCCTGGCACCTCTCTGGTACAGCATCAGTGCCAGGGCAACATCCAGGCCAACAGGGGGACAGATGTCTGAGCTTCACCACCTGTGGGAGACTGTCCTCTGGCTAACCTGGGCTGTGGGAAGGTCTGCTTTCAGATCTGCCCCCCGTGGTGAGGGCTGCCCCCGTCTTCCCTGCCACCCTCTCCAAACCAAAGCTCAGAAACATGAGAGCCAGGCAGTGAGTGTGAGTCAAAGAGCCAAGAGGAGAGGGGGTGGGGGTCCGTGGGGCACAGGGAGGCTGGGCAGCTCCGCCAGGTGGGGCAGGGCAGCCTTAAAAATAAAATGACAGGGATTTTACCAGAGAAAACATGTTTATTTGGCAACAATAGAGAATTTCAATTTGGGACATGCAAGCAAATGTCTGACTCAAATGTTTGATCCGGTAGAACCACAGGCAAGTGGAACCAGCCACGGAGAGGCCCCTCACTTCATGGAGGAGGAGGCGGATGTGGGGAGGGGTCCACTGGAGCAACGCCAGAGGCTGGGGCTGGCGGGCTCTTACTGGCGGAGTTTTGGGGCACCTTGCCCTGCTGGGGTGGGTGACGGACTGACAATCCCTTTCCGAAGAGGGTGCTCCTCTTACCCACCCAGATATACCTGGTTCCGCTGCCTGGCCTACAGGGAAGACAACCCCAGCGTTGGGTATAGTGAGGACAGTGGATGGTTCCCGCCTGGTGCCAGGCTAGGGGGACAGGTGGCTAATGCTCAAGGTCCTGGACTCGCCCTTGGCTTGCAGGCAGGGGTTTTTAGAGGAAGATTGTGGGGAGGGGCCGGTAGTGTGATCAGCCTGCGCCTGTCTCCTGACGGTCCTGGAGAGTGATGGGGCCTGATCGGGACCCTTAGTCATCAGTCTTCTGGCTCCACCCAGCCTGCGGTCAGCTGGAGGCCCAACTAGGGTCGGGGGTGGGTCTAGGTTCCTGTAAGACCCCTCAAGGATGCCCTAGTGGAGAGTCTGTCTGTGGCCTCTGGGGAGCTCAGAGCCCTGTGTCCACTTGGTCAGCAAAGTCCCGTTTTCATTCATCTCTAAGCTCCCAGTGTGGTTCCCGCACTCTGGGTTATGACTTGGGGAAGCCGGCTTCTCTTTGATTTGTTACTGGGGAGTCTGTGGGGCTTCTCCTGACAAGGGCACCTGTGTGGTTACAGGGTCCATAGATGACACTCATCTGTGCTTGATGTGGGTCCCATTTCCCCATGGCCTCCTGATGCCATCTCAGTGAAGTTTCCCAACAGTGATTGTCACTGGTGATAGTGTGGAAATGGTGCCTGGTCCCCCTGACACCACTCTTCATCCCTATTCTGGCAGAAGCTGTGGCTCTAGAACCTGGACACTTGCCCCTCCACTAGTGGATGAGCTCTGGCATCTGCCTGGGGAAGGGAGGTCCCCAGTGGCCCATGAGCACAGAACAGCAGGGGTGTTCCTAGGTTTCCCGCTGCCTCTGGGGCCATTTCGGACTTGGGCTCTGGGCTCAGGACTTGCCAGAGCTGAGCTTCCTGTGGCAGGTGCCAGGACCCTACACCGAGTAGGCACGTTATGGCTTTGGCTTCACTCTGCTGCCTGTCAACAGCCACATGGGGAAGCAAGCATCCTTGGTGTACTGGCTGGCCAGCTCCCTGGTCAAGTCCTCCAAGCCTGCTGCCTGGTGGAGAGGACATGCTGGGTGTCACCACCTTCAGCAGCTTGAGGGATTAGTAGGAGGTGCGACAGCCTGCCTCTAAGTGGTCTGATCCCAAGGGTGCATCCTCAGTGAAAGTCACCCAAAGGTGGTCTCGCAGGCTTCTCATATGCATCCTCGTCCCGGCGGTCCTCCCCACTTGCTTGAACGCTGGCTGGATCTTTCCTCACTTCACTCTCCTCATGGCACCTTGACACACTGCTACTACTCGTGTCTCTGCGGCTGAAGCTCACAAACAAGGAGACGAGGAGGCGCGACCAGCCTCGTGTGTGCAAAGCGCCCCGTACAGGATTCCCTTTACTGTGCTCAGAGCAGCCAAACGAAGCGGTGCCGTCCCCGGGGGCGGGGCTCACCAGGCGCCTGCTGGCCGCGGGAGGGGCGCTGGGACAGCTCCGCGGCCGCCTTCCTTCCGGCGCTGAACTAAGTCTCTGTGTAGTTTGTGAAGCTGTCAATTCTGTTTTAGGTATTTTTACATAAATGTTGCACATGTCTGGCAAACAAAATAAAAACCATGGGAAAATCTGCGATGATACGTGTTCAGTAAAATTTTTCATAACGTTGGTTGCCATGACCAAGTGCGGCACCATGCAGGTCGCGGACAGAGGTGGGCAAACAGACCGTGGGGCATGGTCCATGATCCTCGGGGCGGGAAAAGGCAGGCCATAAGGTAGTATGTCGATTTAGTATGATTTCCTATTTGTGAAAAATAAATATGAAATTTATACACATGTACGTATGGAAAAATGCGCGGATGTCAGCACCACACTGATGATCACAGACGATGTTATGATTCTGTATTTTTTCTTCTTTATCTATTTCTAATTTTTCTTATGATTGAAACATACTGCTTGCATAATAAAAAATATTCAGAAGGATGAGAAAAAAGGACTTTCTCGCTTCTCTGAGCAAACCCAGTTGCCATGGAGACTGTAGGTTGCCAAGCAGCGATTGGCTGGTGGGATGTGGGCAGTGGGTGCTTCCGGGAGCTCCGCGCTGGCGCAGCTGTCAGACCGCACTGCGGAGCCCAGCGCCAGCATGGAAGGGGTGGACGTGTGGGCCAGCACCTTAGCCCAGCTGATGGCCAAGAGGAAACCTCAGGATACCTGGGAGCTTGTCCCTGAGGAGAACCTGGCCTCCGGGCAAATGGACAGCGGTGGTGTCCAGTACCGGCTGAGGGGGCTTTCAAGGTGCGGCTGAGGGCTGAGGCCTTCTGGAGGTTTGGGGGAGCTGACGGCTGCTCAGCCACTGGCCCTAGGTCAGCCCTGAGTCCCAGGGTCAGGCTGGGGGTGGCGCGGCCCATGGTGGGGAGGCGAGAGAAGCATGTGTCCCGGCTGCTCCTGGCCCCTGGGTGGGCCGGGTGCTCCTCTCCCTTTTGGGCAGCGGGGGTGTTGGGGCAGCAGCTCCTGTTCAGTCCCTGTCAGTGCCCATGAGCTGAGACCCTGCCGGTGGGGTGGCCATCTGAAGCCCAGCAGGGCCCTGCGGGGGGGGGGCACGCGGGGCGAGGGGGCCGCCCACACGTGGGGACTTTGTTCACTCACTGTGGCGTCTCCTGGTTTCCATGGCAGCACTGACGCAGGCGTTGTGGTCTGGGGGGCTGGGAAGCTGAGGCGTGGACCCAGGGAGCAGGGTCCGAGAGGCGAGACCTGTGTCTAGCCTGGATGCCTACTGAGGGGGGTCTGGCTTGGGAGCCTTGGTGGCCATGGGTCACAATGATATCACCGTGACAGGCTGTCACTGCAGTGAGGACAGGCCAGACCCACAGGTCCCACCCAGCTGGGGGCCAGCCCGGAAGGGGTACAGTGGGAAGGGGGGGTCATGCAGACAGGTCACTGTGGGGCCCCATGTGCAAGCACCCTTCAACACAGACACAACAGCTTCCCAGTGTCTGAAGCCCTGGGGCAGTTTGTTGGCTTTCTGGCGATGTGGGAGCCGCCCTCCGTGTCTGAGAAGCACCTAGAACCGCGCTGCTGTTCCTACAGCAAGCTGCAGAACTGCTCTAGGCAGCTGAATGTGGCCTCAAAGGTGCTTGTGGGCTAGATTTAAATAAATTGAAAATTGGGTTTCTCCTGGGAACTGATCTCAGCTCATCCATGTCTGGGTGCAGCTAGCTGTCACTGGGCGGTTAGAGTTAGGGTTAGGGTTAGGAGCGACCTGACCATCACCGAAATCTCCATGGTCAGTGCTGGAAAGCTTCTGGGGCAGGTGTGCAAGTCCCCATGCATGCATGTCTGCACATGCTACTGTGACCTTGGTTCTTGGAGAGATGGCCCAGCCACATAGACACGAAGCCTTAGGGGTCTCCCAGCACCAGCATGCTGACCCCCTTCAGTCAGGAGGGTGCCCGGCCCTCTTGCTCACACATCAAAGCCAGAGTGAGCGAGGCTTGTGGGCTCACCTGTCACCCTGGGGTTCTCCAGCCCCTCACTGCTTCCCAGGAACCTCTGTCGCCCCCTATTGCCCCCCCCAATCTGGCCTCACACAGCCCCCTATCACCTACTTTCCCTTTGGATGGGGCTCCTCCTTCTGGGCACCCCCCACCTTCCTCTCTCCAGGACACTTGCTCTTTCTGCTCTCACTGTACCTGCAAGGCTGTTCTCAGCTCTTGGTGACATTTCCTCAGGCTAGAAAAGCCGCAGGATACAGCAGCAAGTGGAGTGACCCCTCACAGGTGGCGGGCCAGGCTTTGCCCTGAGTGGGGTTTGGTGCCAAGCTGAAGAAAGGCATTTGCTTCTCAGCTTTTCAGGTTACAGGTGGCAGGCAAAGGGTGTGCACCTGCATTCTGTCCTTTTACAGACAGGCGCCGGGGGCTGTGGAGCCAGTGCTGGGCTGCACCCCTGCCAGACTGGGGCACTGGGCTGCCCCCTCCCCCTGCTCATGCCACCTCTCTCCTTCCAGGCTCCAGTGTGGCCATTGTCAGTGGGGCTGGTCCTCAGCCCACGTGCACATCCTCTTCCACATGTGGTGGGACGGGGACAGCCATCTGGGGCTGGTGAAGATGCGCCTCTGGGGCCAGCAGTGCAGACTGTGCCCACCAGGCTCCCATGGGGACTGCCAGGTGAGCCTTCTGAATGTCAGGCTCTTCCTCAGCAAGCTGGTCCTGTACATCCTGCAGAAGTGCTACGGGGAGAGCCTCAGCTCAGATCAGTGCCCCGAGATCTGCTTCGGCGAGCGCTGTGAGGCCTGTGACCTGGGTGTCTGCTTCTTCCAGAAGCCCCCAGACCCTGCCTGGGGGCCGGAGGCCAAGAGCCCCACCACTGTCAAAGGCAGGTACACCCTCTACAGCAGCAGCAGCTTGGCCAACGCGGCCTCTGGCAAGGAGCTGCTGGCCCTCAGCAGTGGCCCCGTGGTCGAGCGTGCCAGGAGTTACACCCCCAACTCCATCACCATCCCCCTGTCTGTGTCCGACTTCATCAGAAACCCCCTCTCTGCCAGCAGCGACTTCTTTGGCCAGGACGGTAATGACATCGTCACCGTCCCCTTCTCCCTTGTGGACATTAGGCGGGACCGGGGCCCTGCTGCTGATGCCCAGGGCAGCGCAGGCCCTGAAGGGGGCTCCCTTCCCGAGGCTAACTGCAGTGGGCCGGGTGTCATCGCCATGGGCTCCATCTACCTGCCTGCCAACTCCTCAGCCATGCCCAAGGCCAAGGGCATCCCCGTGAGCATCAGAGACCCCATCTTCCATGGTAGAGGAGTGCTCCTCGGCAGTGCCAAGCCCTTCCAGCTCAAGGGGTTCATCTTCAAAGGCCGTGGCTCCATTTCTAGCCCCAAGGGTGTCGACCAGAGCCTCCTCACCACTGAGAACCAGCCACTGCCTGTATCCTATCTCTTTGGCCTCACTGATGACGGAGAGGGCTCCATCACCTTCCCCATGTCCTTGGCCGCCATTATCGGGGGCAAGGACCCCTTCGCCAGTGCCAGGGGCTCCATCATCTTCCCCTTCACCTTCACCGATGAAGCCAAAAGCAAGGGTTCTGACAGCATCACCGGAGGCCAGGAGGGGGCGGGCGGCGGTAGTAGGCCAGACACCACTGGCCAAGACCCCCTGGTCTCCATCGGCCAGGGCTCCATCACCATCCCCTTCTCTGTCTTCAGTATCATACACTGCAGGGCCCTCCAGAGCGCAGGCCTTGCACCTCCCCGCTTTAACAGGAAGCGGCGGCAGCCAAGGCGCAGGCCGGGCAGGTACAGCCCGGGGCCTCCCGAGGAGGAGGACCTGAGCTGCGACGAGAGCTGCTGCCGGCCGCAATTCGATCCCCACGAGGAGGTCTGGATCTGGGTCTCCATGACTGTCTGCATCCTCTGGGTCATGTACCTGTACAAGTTCAGCCCCGACAACCTGCAGCACCGCGTGTGAGGAGCACACCCCGCTGGCAGGGCTGCCCAGGAGCTAGAGCACAGCTGCCTCATCCCCACCAGCGGCCCCCGCGCCCCGGCCCGGCCCTCCCCCGGCTGACCCCTGCTTCCATGCGGCTCTCCCTGCACGCAGCCGTGGTGTGGTGGATGCTCATGCTGTAACCCTCCCTGTGTGCCGCGTCTTCCAGGCACTTTTCTCTGTGTGTATGTGTGCCACACTCCAGCAAAATAAAGTTAAACAGAAAAACCACGCGCACTCTTGGGCTGCACTGGACCCACCGCCTGGGAGGAGGTGTGAGGTGGGAGGGACCCCATGCAGGGACCCCCTCTGCCCAGCACTTCCTCCCGTGTATGGTGTCTAGATTCCTGGCCATGTGGGATGGGACAGGACGCCCAGGCCAACCACAGCCTTGGTACAGGGCTAGGGCTGCGGGGGAACCAACACTGTGTGGACCTGTGAGATTTCAGGAACAGGTCGCTTGCCACGCTCCTCTGCGGGGAGAGATGAGAGCTGCTCCTCCCAGCCCAGGTCGGTGAGCCTCCCCCTCTCCTCCCTCTTCCCCTTCCTCCCCTCCCCCTGGACCAGTGCTCATCTTTACTGAAGATGCCAAATCCTGGCCTAAAAGGCACATCCCACCTGGAGGGGAGGTGGCAGGAGAACACTGGCAGTGTACCCGATGAGGTTCTTAGGCCCGCTGGGGTCCCAGAGGCCACCTCTGCTAGAAGCCCAAAGCCCTGCAGGTGTGCATGACCACGCTCTGGATTGCTACCCCTAACAGACCCCTGGGGCCTCTTCTACGGGATGGGGGTGCTGAGCCTTACTGACCCAGCCAGGTGGGCACATGACAGCAGCTGGCTGGATCAGGCAACCCTGGCTCAGGGCCCCAGGGAAGCTGAATGCTGGGTGGCGGGGTGGCAGGGGGCGGTGTTCGGGGAAGCCTTGCCCTGTTGGGCAGGGTGAGTGCATGGAAGCCTTTGTCCAGGCCCTGCCCAGCTGGTATGGCAGCTCTGGAACATTCTGCCCTGAGGATGACCTGGGTCCTAGGTGCTGACAGGTGTGGGGGAGGCATGTAGGGAGAGGAGCCCCTGCACAGACACTGGGGCCTGGCAGGTGGGGCTGGAGATGGCTCCAGGTAGCCAGACCTCACATCTCATCCTGCATGTCTGCCCAGGCCAAAAGGCTGCCAGATCCCAGAAGGTTCCACCCCACATAGAAGGCCAAGCTGCATGGACACACCACATGCAGACCTGGCCAGCCTGAGTGGGAGCCCTCACCTAGCAGCATGGGCCTGGGAAGCCCTGCACCCAGACGTCCAGGTACTTGTTTGCCTGGGTGAGACCCTCCAGGACAGGACTGCCTCCACCGTCAGTGTGCCGTCTACACTGGGTGAGAGTCTTCTGTCTTAGGGCGGGACCAAGCCTCTTCCTGGGGTGTGCGTCTACCCTGGGTGTGATGACCTAAGTGGGCGGTATCAGTTCTGGGCAGGGTGAATCTGATGAGAGAGGGTGCTTGTGCATTGGCCCTTTCCCCCTGCATCTGTCACCCTCGGGTCCCCCTGTACCTGCTACCCACAGCTTCCTGCTGCCAGGCTCCTTTCTGCTGGTGGTGGTTGGTAGGAGGTAGAGGCACCCACTACAGTCTCACATGGGTCTGCTGTCCAGCCTGATGAACTCTCTCCCTGCATCTTCTGTCCATGATTTGGGGGGTTTCCAGGGCAGGACCAGACCCCATTCCTGGGGTGTCTTCCTTCCGGCTGGCCTTGGGAGACCCTAGTATACCAGTGGGCAGGGTCCTGGAACCCAGAGAGGGACTGGATGGAGGCGTCCAGCTCTCCCAGAGGACCCCTCCCACAACCCACACCCTGTCTGCTGCACCAGATCCTGTCCCCTAGGACCACCCTCCCTCCTGGTCGCCCCACTTCCCATCCCTTTCCAACACCTCAGAAGGTCCTCCAGTCCCTTCCTCCCCGGCCCTCCCTTGCCCCGCCCCTTCCCCAGTCCCCCCCCTTCCCCAGTCCCCGCCCCTCCTCCAACCCTGTCAGCCCCTTGTGTACTCTGAAACACCAACTGGCGCCTAATTAATGATGATGCAGTAATAACTACCTTAGGGAACTGAACTAGTAATGGAGATACACAACATCTGAAGGTCTCAGGAAGGAAGGAAGACATTCTACACGTCATCACTGTTACTTCACCCAATGTTGGGGGACTCAAAGTGTGACCCATCTCCTGATTTTAGGTAGGTGTCTTGGGGAAGGGAAAGAATCAACTTTCTTGCATTCCAGGGAGTGGGTCATAGCAGCCCCACTGCTGCACAAGGAGGCCACATGCAGGGCCGGGCAAGGGGACCAACCTAGCATAACCTTTATTAGCCAGTGACCCAGGACACTTCCTGCCCTTTGTGGACACCGGAGGGTGGGTGCTTGTCTTGCCAATGGATTTCAGCCCTGGGCAAGTTCAATATGGATTCACTGTGACTAAAGGAATGACAGTAAAACATTCTGGGGGTGAAAGGGTTATACCCAACTTTATTTCCACGGTGGCAGGTCGGTCATAAAATCCCATTCACTCAGAGCGAGTCTGCACACAGCAAGCCAGTCTCTGCCTCTGGGCCTCTCTGCCCACAGAGCTGTCCTTGGCGCCGCCACCACTCCAGTTTCTGCTCTGCTCTCCTGCAGCCTCGTAGCTGTGCCACCATGTCGCCCAGAGCACTGGGCAGGGCTCTTTATATTATAGAGTCAATATAACCTATTGCCCACACGTGTGTAGTGAGCTAGCCAACCAGGGCCAGCTGAGAATCCTGGCCACAGGAACTTTAGTTTTATACACAGTGCTTTATCTCCGAAACCCTCTCCCTGGGGGCAGCCACAGTGCCATCCTCTGTAGCTCATACCCTGTCCCTGTCTGGTGTCCTGTAGGTACCAGGTGCTGCACTGGGGTCCCTCTGTGAGGGTTCACCCTGAGTGAACCTCACTGGAAAGCATTTCTGCTTTCTCTGAGCTGAAAAGTCAGAGGACGATTTATTGACTTTGCTTAGAAACACATCTATCCTGGTGTTTTGCTGTGGATAAAATGAGAGTTCCTGTGGCCAGGATTCTCACCTGGCCCTGGTTGGCTAGCTCACTACACATGTGTGGGCCATACATGGCTATTGACTCTACATAAAGAGATCTGCCCAGTGCTCTGGCTGACAGGTGGCACGGCTGCAAGGCTGCAGGAGAGCAGAGCACAGGCTGGAGTGGTGGCAGCACTGAGGACAGAGGCCCAGAGGACGTCTGTGAGGAGGGACTGTGCAGAGAGGCCTGGACAGCTATGCCCAAGAGTTTCAGCCCCAGGCAAGTTCACTATGGATTCAGTGAGACTGAAAAATAACAATGGAACATTCTTGGGGTGAAAGGGTTTATACACAACTTCATGCCATAGTGGTAGGTCAATCACTAGAATCCTGTCCACTTAGAGTGAGTCTTCAGGCAGTAAGCCGGTCTCTGCCTCTGGGCCTCTCTGTCTCCACAGCCAGCTCTGTCTCTGTCCTTGGCGCAGCCACCACTTCAGCCTCTGCTCTCCTGCAGCTGTGCAGCCCGAAGCACGGGGCGGAGCTCTTTTGTCTATAGTCAATAACGATGCATTGCTCACACTTGTGCATTGGGCAAGCCAACTAGGGGGCAGGTGAGAGTCCTGGAACCTTTACTTTCTCCGCACTTGTAATCTAGATGTAGACTCGCATTGCCTTCTAGGAAGTTCTACAGATCTGCTCAGAAAAGGACTGGGAGAGTGTGGAGGCAGAGTCAGGGCAGATCCTTGAGTTCCTCACTGCTCAGGGCTGGGCTGCTTCCAGGCACTGGTGGGGATGGGCCCTGCAGGATGGCTGCTGCTCCCTGGAGGCCTCGTGAGGACCACACACTTGTGCCATTGTGAACTGACCTGCTGCATTCATTTGCATTATGAAAATGGTATGAAATTTTAGCTCCCAGAAATGGAGAGTGCAGGAACTGTCCCACTGTTTGTTGGGCAGCCTGCAGTTGCCCAGTGCCTGCTCGCACATGGGCTTGCTTCCCGCTCTGCTTTGCGGCCTCAGGGATGTGGGGAAGGTGTCGGCAGAGCAGGAGGAGCTGGGGATACAGTGGCTGCAGCCTGGAGCTGAGGGCCTGGTGCGGCCGGCCAGGCCCACACTGGCTGCAGTGGTTGGCTAGGTTCATTCCCTTCCTGGGTGCTGCCTTCTACACTGTGACTTGGGGGCCCCGGCCCCCATCAGGCTCCCTGCAGCTGGCTTCCCTCCAGCCGGAGGAGGTGGGGGGGGGGGCTAGAGCTCAGCCACATGACCCCTGCTGGGTAGCAGGGTCTATGAGGGAAGCAGGAAGGCAGGCTGAGTGGGGTCTGGGTCAGCGCCAGGCTGTCAACCTGGGGTGCGGGTGGACAGGCCTGCGATAGGGCCTGAGGCCACAGCTGTCTTTCTGCCCCATGGGGGTCTGAGAGGCTTAGCACAGGGCTGGCGTGGGGCAGGCAGCCAGAGCCAAGAACAACCAGGGAGCACACTGGGGTGGAAGAGCATCTCTGGGAGGAGCTGCCGTGGGGGTGGCTCTGCAGACCCTGTTTTCCCTCTGCTCTGGCTGCTGCCGCCTATTCTGTGCACACAGTCTCTCCCGCTTTGCAGGTCCCGCATACAAGGATGTGAGTCCGGCACCCCTGCCAGACGCTGCCCCGCCCATGGCCCTGCCACACATGCTGATCATGGCAGGTCCCAGCTCGGTGCCCCAGCCCCTGTCCTGAAGGCAACAGATCACTCCTTGGGTCTGTGACCCCAACGGTGAGTGACCTCACCTGACTTCCTGCGAACGGGAAGGGAAGGCTCATCTCCTGCGCACCATGGGGAAGGATTCACGGAGAGGAAAGGCTATGAGCGCCAGCTCTGACAGCTTGTGGGGTGGGCCTTGGGGCTGCTGAGTGGTAACCTTGGCCCATGTCCTGCATCTTATTGAAGGAGGGCTGGGAGGGGAGGTGGGCCTGCCCCAGCCTTCCCTGACTCTGGTGCCCCATTTCACTGCAGTGTACGGCTGCCCCAGTGTGCCCTGCCAGGAAGGCAGACACCCCTCCCAGGCCTCTGCCTGACCTAGGGGTGCATGGTGGCTCCTGTTGCAAAAAGCCAGGGCCTGGCATGTACTACAGGTGGTGGCCCCTGGCCACCTCTGGGCTCACCTTGGGGTCTGGGGTTCTCTGGGTTGGGTGACTGAGCAGCAGCTTTAGGTCTCAGAT